GCTGGTACAAGACGAAGTCGTATAACTGGATTTTTAATGTTCTTTGCTGCATACTGTTTTAATTCATTTGTAAATGATCGTTCATCAACATTGATAAATAATCCAGGTTTAAAAGAATCTTGTTGTTGAAGAATATATTTTGATTTATTAGAATCAAGTTTAAAAAGTGCATAAATTTGATCACATATATCCTTATATGAACTATTTGCATCAAGAGAAATTCGTTGTTTTTGAGCACCGTATTCAACAATAACAAGAATATTTAATGCCATTTGAAGACAATAGACAAACAACACGAAAATTTTTCACATGAAAATTAAAGTCGGGTATTTTCTGTATTCGAATGTATGTATCGAAAAACTTTAACCAATCAGCTTCGATGAAAAGCTACAGATGAATCACAAATTCATGGTCACATTGCTTAATTCAGCCATCTATACATAAATGGATGAAACTTAGAGTCTAGAGTTCACAGTTACAAGATTTTAACTGCATTATCGATAGAGGTTAATATTGATATGAAAATTATTTATTCAAATGAAATTTGGGACTTGTTGAAGCGACATCTTGCGTTTCCATTATTGAACACAGGACCAAACAGATCTCAGAATGTAACTTTAAGTTTCCTACGTTTCTATTGTAATTCTACAGTTTGATTCTACGACATAAATCAAATATCATTTCACTAACGAGGGAGGTACGCGAACTGTACCCTCGACTTTGAGCTCATACCTTGGTCATAAGTAGGACTCAGTGTGACTAGAAAAAGTCTAAAAGGATTTGTGCTCATGGACATTTGATCAAAAGTTATGGATATGTCATTATTCATGTGGAAACGTGTAACGTACAGACCGATTTCTTCTAAATTTTTTGCAACTCCACTGATTTAAGCAATGAAGTTTTATTCTGCAGCGACTCTGATGACTGCCTATGGTCAGTAAACGTTTCAAACCAATAGAATCTGTCATTAGACAAAGACAAAAATCCCATTTCTGCAGACTTTCGAACATTCTTCATATCGATTTTTCAGTTCAAAGAAAAATCATAGACGATGCAGAACACTTTTTCATGCATAATTCCGTTTTTCAGTCGTTTCATCGCAAAATTCAAAGATGTTTCTCATATATTCTGGGGAGGGAATTTTGACAGCAGAGCATCATCTCCTATCTTCTCCTCACCTTCGGTGCCATAGAAGGTAGGATCATTTTCTTCATTCGCTTCTGTGTCATAACTTTCATCCTCATGCGCATCGTCCAGTGCAGCGTCATAGTCTAGTGCAGTCTCTTTCTTCACCTTGTATGACAAACTGTTGTTAAAGAATGTCATCCTAAGTACGATAAGAATCTTATTTCGCAACACGATCAGCCAACATTGCTGTCACAGATTCAGCGTTTATCATTTAGCTTTCAAAAATCTATATGAACAAATGGACAGAGAGTAGTAGACCTTCGTATCGTTCTTTACATTCTTCCTTATTTTGATAAAATGATACAGAGGATAGAAAACAAGCCTACGTTACTGTACGTACAAGAAGACCCTTAGAAACAAGTAACGTGACGCAAACGTCACTAACCCTCTACTGAAAGGATCTATGCCGTTGTGCATATCGTGTGTGAGTGTGGGTGTGGATACGGATGTACGTCTGATCGAACTGAAGACTCACCCACACCCTAAGCCAAAGACTATCTTTCAAAAAAATAAGCATTATAATCGTCACTGTCTTGAATTCTCGTCAAGAACAATTGCTTTTCCAAATATTTTAGTTATATTATTTTGATCGAAATTTAATAAAAAAATAAAAGATATTTTTTCTCATAAGGATTTTTCTTATATCAATTGATACTATAACTTTTTTTCTGATAAATTCTTGAAATTATAATTTATTCCCTAGGAAGAAAAATTCTTCTAAAAATTTACTTTTTTTCATAAAAACCGATAAATAACTTGATGATAACGTTCTTGAAGTAGGTCGTATCCTATAAACTAGAGAATATCTTTTAAATTTTGATCAATGTTTAAAAATAAATCTTTATCTGCTAATATGTCAAGTAATTCACCAAAAACAAAGATTTGTAGTTTTATTATAATAAATATACTGTAAAAAAGACACTCAAAATTGATTTTTTTCCAATTTTTTTCCAAAACCCATTCTTTTTAAAATAACTGATATGTTCATTAGAATTTCCAGTTTTGACAAGTACGACTACATTTTCAGAAATTTCTGGTAAACTATTTTGTTGAATATCCAATATTAAATATAGATTGCAAATTGAATCTCAATGATATTCTACTTCTTTTACAATATTCATCTTATCAGTTATTATTTGTTGTTCTTAACTAAATTGTTGATATATGCAGTATGATAGTAAAGTTTAGCAACTATATTTTCATAGTTTAATACTTGTCCTTTTCCTAAATGATCTCGAAATAAATGGCAAAGTTCATTTATATCTCCTGATAATATTATAGCTTGTTGCTTTATTTCAGCAAGTCATATTTCTTCTTGATTAATAAACTGATCATATTTTTCTAAAATTTATTCTAACAAATTTATCATAATTTATTTTTCTTTTATATTTTTCGTATTATTTATTACATATTTCAAAATATTTCCTTTTTCTTGTCATAATTTCTTAATACCACGTCGGATATAATTATTGCAACCTAATAATAAATTAAAATATTGTACTGACGTTTCGAATTTCAAAATAAATATGAATATTTCACAAGTGAATATGAAGTATATTATATGAGTGATTCAGATCAATCGAATGTATCCCAAATCGTTGTCACTGTTTATAAAAAGAAGCGATATTTTCTTTCCTTCATCTGTGAAAAACATCGCTTCTGCTTTTGCTTTCGTTATTTATACGATTCCTTTATTAGCAGATTAAATTAAGCGATAATAATAGAAAATGATGACGAATCGTGAAAACGAAAGAGATTTTAAAGATAAAAACTCATCATTAAGTTTTAACTTAATTCTTATTAATGTTGAAAGTAAAGAAGTAGAAAAGATATCTTCTCTTCAAGATATAAGATCTATCAAAGTATATTATTAAAATGATGATGAATATAGTAGTAGTGACGAAAATGATATTGTTGATATAGTTATTTGCCTGAAATTTCAATGATTACAAGGAAAGAAGATCAATTTTATGAACATCTTTTATCGATTGCTAACACAATTTATTATAGCACAATTAACGAAAAATTACGTGAAGGATAAGGTACGTCTAGTGTTAAAGATGAAGAAGAATATTATTCTAGTTCATGAAAAGATGATAAATCTGATGGATATGATTATAATTTTAAAAATCACAGTGAATATAACAACAGAATTGGTTTATAAATGATATTGAACAATATTATAAAAATCAATATGAAGTTTGTTTTTAATAATAGTTTACAATCTACAATTTTATTAAATAATAAAAATCAACAAAAATAAAGATAATATCTTCAAAATTTCATTGATTTATTTAAAAAACGTCTTTCAAACCTTAAGTTACTAAAAGAAATAGTTACTAAACCTATTCTACATCGAGAATTAAAATCATCAGTAGATCTTTTATTTCAATTAGACCATAGTTATACAAATTTCAATAAATAAACTAAAACAGATACAAAAAATAAAACTTCTAATGATTGTATTAATAATATTTATCAAAGAGGTTTTAGAAACTATGATCGAAAATTAGCATGATCTAAACATGAAAATAATATTGATTGTATTTCATCGAAAATTATCTTTGATAATAGTTTAAATAATTTTTTTAAACAAAATCTCAATTATCTAATTTAAAAACAATACTTTATTTTAATCCATTTATAATTGATTTAATTGAATAGTTAATACGTTTAAAAAATTAGAAAAAAATTAAAATAGTTCTATTCTAGTAAAACTGAAAGGAGAATATGTTTTTCATAAAACATTAAATGATAATCAAATAGGATTCTAGAGAAAATTGATCCTAATGATATTATTGTATAATTTCATGCAAGGAAGAATTTAAACAGCTATATAAAAGACTTTTTTTTCAAGGCTTTATATAGCATTAAAATCGATAAATTAAAAGAAAATATATGAAGACACTAATTTAAATTAAATGAAGATATTTTAGTAGATGAGAAAATTATTACAAATGATATTGAATTAATTATGTATAAAATGATGAAATTTTCTTCAAATAATGAATATTGAAGTTAAGAAATAGTTCAACTATTTGAATATAATCTATTCGTCAAGATACTTTGACTAAAGAGATAAGAAATGAATTTTTTAGTTACAATTTTGCAAAATTCTAACAATTAAATTTTTAACTTTTTACAAATGAAAAATCTAACTCGTTGTGCTGTGAATAGAAATATCGATGCTGTATATTTAAATCGATTTTCTACTTATTTATAATCAACGATAGCTTATTGAAAGATAAGAAGTTCAATTATCAATAAAAACTGAAAGAGATTAAGAAAATTCAAATTCGAGTTAGAATTAATTGAAGGAAAACAAAGTATTACAAAAATTATTGATTATTTTCTTAATTTTAATATAGAATTTTTTAAATTATTAAAAATTTTTCAAAAACATTTTTCGTCTAGTATGCATTCAGAACTTCATGAAAATGCTTCAAAAATCATGTCTTTAATAACAGATATTCCTAAATAAGAGCAAAGAGAAAGAAGCTATGTCTACTCAGTCTGATACACTTAAAAAAACAAAACGTCTAATTTAGAAGTTGCTTTGCAAAGAAGATTTTTTGAAGGAAACATTGTTGATGTGAAAGTTTTATTAGAATTGCATGTAAATATTAATGAATAAGGCGATAACTCTAAAACAAAAGTCGCTTTTCATAGAGCAGAATAAATATTTTATTTCATTTCTCTGTTAGATCATATTGATAAACATAAAAAAACAGAAAATCCAAATAAATTTGAAAATGAATTAAAGATTAATAATTTGATAGTGATTTTTTTTTGAAAAAGTCGAAGAAAATGATATTTAGAAAATTCTAAAAATTAATGAAGCTAAAAGACAAAACAAAATCATGCATGTCTTGATTATGTATTAAATGCAATTATAGAGAAGTATTAAAAATTTAAAAATATTTAATCAAGCAAGTCCCATAGAAATTGTTCAATTGAGAGCAAAATAAATAATGGCGTTTTAATAATCAAAGAAATTATAGCAGTTTAGTAAAATTAAAAGAACATTGTTTCATTCCATTTCAAGATGTAACAGTCAATAATAAACCTTATGAAACATTTTGTAATAAAATTAGAAAATATTAAAGAGAAATAACTCTTGATCATGCTTTAAGATTATTTCAAGAAAAAAACACGAAATTTTATTAGGAATTCAAAAGATTAAAAATGCTTTTTTTGATACTGTGAAAAGTTATTGCGAAAGTATTTTGATGAGATGATCAACAACAAAAAAAAACTCGAATTAAACTCATAATTATAGAAACGAAAAAATTTGTTAATAAATCGAATTCTAAAAAAGAAACTATCCCCGTTATCATTACTAGACTATCAATTGTATTTTATGACAACCTCACTGTATTCTAATTCTTAGTATTAATGCTATTAGATATTGATGGAAAGACGAGTTCACTTTCTTCTAATCAACCTGCTGAGATTTTAACTGGATAAGAAAACTCTTGAGCCTGAACTCTCTGAGGAGGATTTTTTAGTTTGATTGGTTATCAAATAACAGTATACATATTTTCAGACATTCTATCAGGAGAAAAAAGTATCTCCTACAAATATTAAACAATATGAAAAAACAAAAATCAATTTTTTTGAACTGATAAAGTGGATATATTTCTTTTCACATCAATTTGGTGAAATGTATTGTCCAGCAGTTAGAATTAAAAGAGTGGATGTGGGTATGATTAAACAGACTACCAAAATTGACATCCACACCCTCAAGTTGTCAAACTCTATCTACTCATTTATTAAAAAAAACACGAAGAAAAAAATTTGCTTTAATTTCATATAATTCAGGCCTTGCTAGAAAATTTTATTTTTACCAAACAGCGCTCAATAAAAAATAAGAGAAAATTAGAAATCCTCTAGAATTCATTGCCTTGAATACTTTGATACTTGCATTGAAATAGAATGAAACTAGGTGTCTACAAAGCTCGAACTATTCAATCTCGGTCAGACTCATTTAGGATCTGACTGAACCCAAGTTAAACTAATGCTAAGTCTAACAAAGTTCAAACCCGACCAAGTCTAAACTATTCAGTCTAGGTTCAGCTTGATGCAAACCTACGATATAACGAATAACTAATATAAAGATGAAAATTATTTAAAACTTTTTGTGTTCTCTGCATAATATTGAAGTCTTCACTAAAATACTATGGTCATTTTCTAATTCTTTTTGTTTTTAAATTTTTGTATTTTAGCATAATATTTCTTATTATCTGTCCTATTTTTATTTATCAATAAATGAGAATAACAAGGCTTTATTTCATTCTTATTCTTGAAAACATATACATGATGATCAGTTTTCAATAATCCATGTGACCAAATCAATTATGAAAAGGAAATTATTTTTTGTTAAATTTCAAGTAAGACAACAAATGTAATAGATACTTAAGTTCAACTGGCGTTGAAATGAAATGAGCAAACATTTTTTTACATACTTTATTTAGGTTCATTGATTGAACTAATAACTTTCTAAAAAGATTGATTTTTTTTGAGCTAAGTTATTTATATATTTCAAGTAAAAAAATAAACTTATTCTAAATAATATTTTCTAAAGACAAAATAAATAAAAATAAGTGATACTTTATATAACATAATTATTTGTTTGATTTTTACAAAGAGTATTAAATATATATCATGAAAATAAAAAAAAATATTTCATTACAGTTGATTTTCGCCCAATACATATGCGTTGGAATGAAGACAGACACGACTCTTGGTAAGATTCTGATAGTTTATTTTATCATAGCTTTCGAAATGCTTTTTCAATGGATAGTCGTATCTTCCGTTTCAGAGATGATATATAAGATCTTTCAACATGTCGTACGGTAATATGAATATGAATTGATTCTACTATGATTTATCAAAGAACTCATTTAGCAACAACAATCAATTTAAGTTTCAACTTTCGAATCTAAAAAACATTCCGATTCTATTTTTATATGCATGTGAGCTGTAGGTTAAAATGGAGGAAATGGCAATAGTCAGTAACAGTCATACTCAACTTCGATATATATACTTTACAGTGTATAAGTTAATATATATGAGATCGTACCCATGGCCAGCAGTATAAAAGTTGACTTTGAGAATCATAAACGGTATGTTTGAGACCAACAACGTAGAAGAAAATCATAAAGGGTAGGTTTGAATTCTATTGTTTCATCCTTAAGACTAAAAACTGATGAAGTTTTTCAGTTTGACATTCCTCGATTTCACGGCAAAGACTTCTGTTTTTTTTATTGATAGAAAATCTATGGAGTACAACGCATTCGATAAAAATAACAGTAATTAGTGAGATACGATGAATCGATCTAACCAAAATTTGATATTACTTATGCTATGGTTAGCGTGCATCGAGTAGTTTTGTATTATGTTTGAAGAGAATCCTAATCCTAAGAATAAAATTCATTTTGTATGAGTTATTATTCTTAAAAAAAATTAAGAACTGTTTATTAAAATTCATGCATACAGTTTTTATATAAGCATGCATTGAACAAATATATTTCGAACAGTTAATATTTATGTGTAAGATGATAGTAATCAAGGTAAAATATACTAATATATATGAATCACATGATATAAGCAAAACCCCAAATTAAGTCTTGTCACATTTCAAAGTTGAATATCACTATCAACATCTTTATAACATTCTATATAATAAAAAAAAAACAATGAATATATTTTCTCATAATAAAATACAAGTTTTTCTAAAATCTGTTCGTGAATTTAATTGCATATAAAGTAGATGTATATATATATATATTGTTGGAAATATTTTGTAGGATGTAATTGTTCTTTTCGCTAAGAACATAATCATACTCTTCCTTTTTTATATAACACAATCTGAAAGCACTGCTGAAAAATAGAAACAAAAATTATGTCACAATTATGGATGGGTCAGAATGTATAGTACTAAATGTTTTTATTTATTTTTTCGTTCATCTACTTTTGCAAAAAATATTCATCCAGACATTAAAAAGGATGCAAATCTGTTCAGTCATTTAACTGGGATTTCTGGTTTTCGACTGACATTTAATAATTTTTAAAAGCTTTTCCGACAAAATCATGTAATTATTATAGTGAGCAGTGACAAATTTAGGCTATTTCAAGCCTTAAAAAGAAACGATGACCTAGATTCATCAGAAAAACAGCTTTTTCTCTGTTTTCGTATGTTTTTCTTAGAAATTGTTTTTTCTTTTCACGAATCGGCAAAGAATAAAATCTTAACCTGTATAAAATTTAATATGAGAAATATTAGGATATATTTCATTTAGTCGCTCAAGAAATAAGTACATAAAGAGTTGGATGCAAACCAATCGAAATATCTTGAATATGTGGTCAAATAAAAATATTTGTCTCAAAACTAAAAGAAAAAAATCATATTAAAAAGTTATATATATTGTGGTAGAACAGATTATCTTACTGTAATTCATTCATAAATTCAAAATTGATGAAATTTCAACGGAATTTATTATTTTTTCAATGTTCCTCGACAATAATTTACATATGAAGATGAAGTTTAAATTTTTGGATGTGATTTAAATTATTAAGTATCCATTTCATATAGGCGAATTCGAAATCATTACGGGCGAAAACTTTTAAAGTCAAATAATGCCATTTTGGTACCTAGAGTTAGTAGAAAAACAAAAAGACACAAGAAAACCACTCTTTGAATAAATTGTTCCTATTAGAAATCAATTTTCTCTAAAATTGAGAATGTGGACGTAGACGAGAGTGCAGTGAATATCAAAGTACACACACTATCACTTTAACCAAAAGATTGCATTTGAAATTCTCTACAAAATCATACATGATTGGAACTAAAGATTGTTTTAAAAATATGTTGAAAAAGTGAAGATTATGGATGTACAAAAAAAGCTGTAAAAATCAAATATGAAAATTTTTATGGATAAAGCAAAATTTTATCATGATTTGTCCACGATAGTTTCATTACAAACAATTAAATTCTGAACAAAAGATGATAAACAACACTCTCTCTATAGAGTTGTTACACTGTTTCCGACCGTTCAGGCTCAGTTCAAACAAAACTGACTGTCTAAAAGATCAAACGGCATCTGCTCTTCAAAAAAGAGTTGTCAATAAGAAAACAAGGTATTGAAACAAAGTGTACATTGTTTGCTATCACATGAGAATCTTAGCTTTTTTTCCATATAAGAAGGTCAAAGAGTCAAACCAAAGTGATCTGCTTCAAGAGTACGATGATGTTACAAACTGAATGCTAGTGGAATTTGTTAAATTAATGTTCTGTAAAAAGACTAGAAAAAGAAAATAGTTTAAGATTTGTCCTTGTTTTCTATGAAAAATCAAATCCAATCCAAAAAACAATGGAGGAACTTGTGTTTAGAGAGAGTACAGAAAAAATATCAAACATACTAAGAGAACAATTTATTTTGCACCATCAAATTTTAAATGATTTCAATAAAGATGAAAAGTTAATCATAATGAATTCATCTCGCCTTTTCAAATCAGTTTCCATTTAATTTCGTTAATGTTTCAATATCTGACTTGGATCGTAGTTCAAAATACATCAGTTGTGTTAAAAGCAACTGACAGTCGTTCAATGTTGAGTATATATTCAATAAAATGTTCAAGAAAACATGTATATGTAAGACAAATATATAAATAACGGATTGTCAAACAACAGAATTGAATTTGATCAGTCATTTCACTTGATAAAGGAATAGAAGATGGCATTAAACATTGGTGATTATTAATAGGCGAATTATCATTAGAAATATTGAGCCGAAGGTGTATTAATTGATAATTATCACAAAAAAATTGATGTATCAACTATTTAAATCAACAAAAAAAACATGGTAAATAGAATATCTAATCTACTACTCTCATACATATAATTTACTTTTATTTTCAGAGACCTCACTTTATATCTCAGGTATTCGACACAATCATATTTCCGAGATGCAGCACTCTTTTAAAAATAATTACTGTTCAAAAACGTCTTAATTCGAATATGTAGAATCTCAAATTCTGACACTGTATATTCAATGTTGGATATGTGATTAACTTACGTAGAAGTAGTTCAAAGACGAAATTCGAAAATGTGAGTTTCTTGTGAAGATGTTGTCATGGAGAGTTATTTGGAACAATTCATATTACAAACTCGCTAACTCCATCAAATCTCAATAGACACTCAAATATGTTGAGTTTTATCACTACATCAATATTTAATATCCACAGACAAAACAATCATTGCAATTAGAATGAAGAATCCGGAAAGATTCTCTCATTAGCGTTTACAAATTGTTAGAAATAGCCGCAAAAAAGAAATTTGTTCGAAGCAGCGTTCCAAAGCACTTTTTTTTTTGTTATATTACATTTACATGACCTAGTGATACAGTGTTTGTTACTATTCAAATCAATGAAAGTTATAGTGATTGAATGAAAGTTGTATAACAAACTAAACAAACTTATTTTACTATTGCTACAAGTGTGAAATACTGCACCTCATCTATTTTTTCGACCCGAGATGAGCGAGCCGCGGTGTAAAACCGCCCCGTCCCGTCCCGCCCCGCCGGCGGGGCGGTGCTAAAACTTGACGGGGCGGGGCGGTGACGGTGCATGACGAAATTTCGCGGTTTCACCGCCTTTGTATAACCTTGATTTCTTAAATATACTCAGACCTTTAGAGACATCTTTTAAAAATTTAAAAATTTTTTCATACTAAACTAATCAGTAAAAAAAACTTGTTAGCGCAGCTCCAGAGGAGCTAAAACGTGAAACTCACATATATTTTTTTAATTTATTGTTCTGATGCCTAATTTTTAAATTGTAAAACACCTTTTTTCCGAATACGTATGAAATGATTGATATATTATATAAAAACTAGAGCCTTTTATGCGCTGTTGCTGAGGTCTGTCATGGTGGGGGTCAGGGTTGCCAGATCGAAAATTAAAAAATCAGAAAAATTTTTCTAAAAATCGGAAAAATGTCGGAATTTTTGTTCTCGAAATCGGAAGAAAATCAGAAAGGATTTTTCCATGCTTAAATAACTAGTCTATATATTTTCGATAGCTTCAATATCCTTTATTTTGCTTCTGTTCATCTTTTCGAAGCAATATCGGAAATGATATTTCATAAAGAATGAAAGAAAATATCGATTACACAATTTACTCATGATTAAGATATCTACATAAGTCATTTGAACAGGATCACATTATTTTTATCAAAAATGCTATAACCAACTTGACGAAACAATAGAATCAACATTGTAAATTCATACACACATGCATTTCACAAAACTTGTGCAAAAGAAACTACGTCTTATTCTGCATAATGTTCGCTTTTGTTCATAATTTTTATTAGCTCGAATACTCTTCAAAATATCAGGTTGAGGTAACAGATATTCATAAAAATGTCCACAAGTATAAACAGAATTCATTCCGATTTTCAATTCTGCAACAGCTAAATTAGTACCCATACGATTATGGTTAGTTTTATTATATCTGTGATGAAACAAAAAAAGCTCAGAAACGAAAATATTCTTAATTATCAGTATAGAAAACGAACAGAGAAAGTTAGTTCATCGTGATAGAAAACTGGATCTTAATTGTCTGTAAAACATCATAGTTTTATTGGAGGATATGCTTTCAAATCACTGCAGTGTGGTTTTGTTGAGTTCATGACGCTTCACTACCCGATAACTATGATGAAATAGATCGCAATATATGTGTGGTATCGCGTCATGGTTAAATTATTCTGGAATGTCCTAAGAACTTGAATTCACAAACAAGACTTTGAAAACCGAAGGAAAATTAGGAAATCTGAAGGCAATCGGAAAAAATCGGAACGTCGGAAAGTCGTTGGAGAAACTTTCAAAAATCGGAATTTTTCCTGCCGTATCGGAAGATCTGGCAACCTTAGGTGGGATGTCTGTAATGGAGTGAAAGAAGGGGAAGAGTCGTCAAACCTCGAACTTAAAACTTACAATCACTATTTTCTTCGAAAATATATGTGAGTTCCACAAAATGAGTGGTTGTATTATAATGGCCTCTCATTTTCATCTGCTTATTTTTTTCTATTTCGGAACGATGTTTATGCATTTAAAATATGCCTCTTCATCTCATGAAATGAAATAGCCATTACGAAAATTTAATGAAAAATTTGTCAAGAAATAGTTTTTGAAAACATATCTTGGACGGGGCGGGGCGGGGCGGTGACGGTTTCAATGCTGAACAGGCGGGGTGGTGGCGGTGTGGAACGTTATCAACGGGGCGGGACGGGGCGGTGACGGTGCGAATTTTTTGCTGACTCGTCCATCTCTGATACACATAACAGTTAGTTTTATTTCCTATTTTTCTATAATAATAATATAGGATATATAAATTTTCATTTTTTTTTCTATACCCTGAATATACAAAAATCGCATATTTACTTTTTATTTTTCTACAGCAATAGTATAGAAAATGGTTGATTTTATTCCTTAATTTTCTATATTAATATTATAGAAAATCTCAAATTTAATTTTTCATTTTCGGGAAACTTGATGTAAGACTTGACATCAGATTTCTGAGACAACAATTTTTCGTATGATTTTCCGTATGATCTCGTATGATCATATACAATAGTTTGTAAGATCTAATAGAATCACACAAAAATTCATGACCGATCTTTCTATATGATTTCTCGATGCGGAAACCTACGACTAAGTTACGACCATATACGGTCGTATACGATAACCGTTTCTAGACGTATTTCGTCGTATACGATCGTTTACGATCGTGCTTTTTTGAACCTGGGTTATCATTCCGTGACGTCGTCTTTTATCGAGTCTTTCCGTTTTGATACCTTTTCTTTCTTCCGTTTTTACTTCTCGTTCTTCGTAACTGAAGAATAAAGATAATTTTCTAAGTAATGGAGCTTTTGAGCGTGGCTCTAAACCAAATGAACCTTCCCAGGGATATCCGACGTTCTGTTGGTGACCCGTGCAGGCGTGCAGATGGTAGGCCTTCATAGCATACATCAATGTATGTATGAATAGAAGCGTCCATTTCGTCACCGTCATTTCGAAGATGATGATCATGGTAGTACTATTCATACATACATGGATGTATGTTTGCCTAACCATTGTCGGCTTTGTCCACTGTACGAGCCAGCAAAATACGGAGGGTATCTCTGGTCGCGCGTGCGCGAAATTTTGCAGCTGCTTGCTTTGGCCAGCTTTGGGTTCAAGAAGGGGAATTTATTTTCCATTCAAAAACGAAAAAAAAACAATTACATTTTCTTTTTTACTTTTTCAATGTTTCTTTTCATCAGAGCAATATGCGGATGTGTTGGAGGCAGTGATGTTCGGAAGATTTCTTGAGCTTTCTCGTAATGGGAAAGTGCTTTGGAGTACTCGCCCATGTTACCATACGTCGTACCGATGTTGAGGTAGGAAGCAGCCAAGTCGGGATGATTCGGAGGGAGAGCTATTTTCTGGATTTCAAGTGATCGGTCATACGATGTAAGTGCTTTTGAGTACTCGCCCATGGTATCATACACCATACCGATGTTGTTGTAGGAAGAAGCCAAGTCGGGATGATTCGAACGGAGAGCTATTTTCTGGATTTCAAGTGATCGTTCATACGATGAAAGTGCTTTCGAGTACTCGCCCATGTTATTATAC